TGTATCATATAACTGTTTTAAGTTTGCGGCGCCACCAGCATCAAAATTGAACTTTTTCCAAGTACATAATTTGGTTGCAAGTGAGTGTGGCAATAGAAAAACCAACAACCAAAGAATGTTGCAAGTGAAGTGCCACAACTCAATATGCTTTGCCGTTAGTAATTCATTTGTTCTTTTATCATTCACAAAATGTTGCACCGAAATCAGAGAAATTTGAACATTCACATTACTAGCATAACATTTTATTGAACAACCCACTTCAAAATGGTGAACAATGTTTGTATGCATGTACATTGTACACACAAGCAAAAGATCATCAGCACGCATGTTTGCAATTTAACTACAGAGAATCATTATATTACACGATCCAACAATAGTAAATTCAAATATGAAACTGAATTATTTTCATTCAAACGTCCCTTCGAAATATTCTCAAATGCGATTGCATCATTCATCTAGTCAGTTTCATCCCTACATACTTTCGACATTTTTTTGTGTTGCATGGAGTCTACCACTTGTTCGCCTTTCAAAAAATCATATTTATGCTGATTACATGAAGAGCTTGCGTATGAATTCAGTCACTAATGGAAAAATCTATTCGCTCTTTCAATTTTCATGGCACTAAAATTACTCATCTCATTTTTTTCTTTTCACTTTATCCTTCGTATTCAATTAGTTCTGAAAATCGTACTGCCAAAATATAGCTGAACCAATACATATATAAAAATCTCAACCATTTGGATATCAAAGATGAGTGGGATTCCCAAAGATGAGTGTGGGAATAAATATCTGATTATTGATTATGAACCATTTACTTTCTTTTATTCAAAACCAACGAATTTATTCACATACATTCATGTATAAATACATAAAATGGGAAAAAGGATCACGTTTTCATTCGCTTTTTATTTTCGAACAATAGTGATGACATAGCTGTCCACGAACGTTCGTTCGTTCGTTCGTAGAATATTTTTTTGGTCTTTTTGTTCGTTCGTTCGTTCGTAGAAAATGAATTGTTCGGATTGTTCGTTCGAACGACGAACAACGAACACGTTCGTTCGTTCGTAATTTTTGGAAACTTATTTTCTCAATGTATACAAATATTGCGATAATAAATGTAAATTGGGAAAACTTTAAATCGATTTTTCCCGCTTTTCTGATGGGAAATCGTGAAAAATAAGCAAAATGTTGACTCCCATAGGGAGCCAGAACACCTGAGTGGTTCGATGGCCTAAAGTCCAGTGAAATTCTGCTGATCCATGGATTCTCAGGATTTGACCTGGATTCCAGAACTTCCATAATGTAATTACAATTAAAAATAAATACAATTACACGGAGAATGGGGTTTTTATAGAATATCTTTATGGAAGTTTTAGAATTCAGGCATACGTCCTCAAGGAAAAAATTTAAGGGGGGGTAATTGAAAAAAATCGAGAGGGGTAAGCAAAAAAGTGAAGTGTATTTTGCGAAAAATGTACTTTTTTCGTTTTTTTTTTTTTGCTTTTCTCTTTTTCGGCGAAAATCCCTAGCAAATTTAAAGAATTTTTCTTACATTGAAAACAAAAGTGAGGAGCAAAAAAAAAAAAAAAAAGGTCCTCACTTTTTTGGCGAAATTCTCTAGCAAATTGAAAGAATTCTTTGAAAATTTTGAAGGGGTAACACTTCGTCAGGGGGGGGTAATCGGACCCCTCGGACCCCTCGGACCCCTGCTGAGGACGTATGAATTCAGGTCAAATCCTGAGAATTCATGGATCAGACAAATTCCACCGGATTTGGACTTTAGGCTATTGAACCACAACTGTCGGAGTCAACATTTTGCTTATTTTTCACGATTTCCCATCGGAAAAACGGGAAAAATCGATTTAAAGTTTTCCCAATTTACATTTATTATCGCAATATTTGTTTACATTCGAAAAATAAATTTCCATAAATTACGAACGAACTCTTACGAACATACGAACGAACAGTCCGAACAATTCATTTTCTACGAACGAACGAACGAACAAAATATACATTGAAAACGAACGAACGGTTCGTTCGTTGGTGTTCGTGGACAGCTATGAGTGATGAAATGAAAGCAATGAAAAATATATGTAATTAGATTTCCGGTTGGATTTGTTGCCATTGAGAATTGAAAAATGGATAGCTCACTTTGGCTAATAAACTGAATGTGTCATTTATGCATTTTGATGTGTGATTGGCATCAATTTTTGTTGCAAAAATCGCACATGTGAACTTTTATTCTAAATCAAAATGTCACAAATTGCACGCAATTTCATCTCATTTCAAATGAATAGTCGCCTCAATATAATGTTTGCTATTATTAATGAAGAACATTTCATTTTCAACATAGAATAATTGATATTATAGAGATTTTGTTGAAAAAATGTATAGTCCCCAACAGTTCTATGTGCACTTTTGACGTTTAAATAAAATGTTGAAAAATGAGAGAAGTTTTGCCAACCACATAATGTTTATAACATATAATCGTTGTAGAGAGAGCGTGATGCATATAAATTTGCACATATAGCTGCCATGCTCTCGGTCATTTAGTCATTGTGACATTCGTGTTTACATACAGACACGCGAAACTCTCACATCATCATTTATTCTCTACGTGCGCACGCAGTTAGAACAAACGCAAACAGATGAGCAACAGCAAAGTCGCTGCCATTATTCCGAATGTGTATTCGTGCGCGCGTCTCTCTCACTCATATGTATTCATGCTTAAACATAATATTATGCAGTAGAAATTTCGCGATCATAGGCAATACGTGTGTCGAGTGAGAACTTTATTCCGAATGTGAACCAATACATACGCACGCATGTTTAGCATGTCGCTTGTTTACTTTTTCATTGGTTTGTCATTATTGCGTCGCATAAAATAAGTAAATGTATTCAGGGCTGTATAATACCTATTATCCAAATCTTTTCAGGACTTCATTTTTAAAATGAATTGCATCCATTGTTTTTTTTTTGTCAATGTTGAAATAAATATATCTAAATTTTTTTTTGAATGGCTGGAATATTGAGAATAAATTAAATAAAAATTGTAATACAAACGGTCTGTTTTTCTCGCATTTCCGGTTTGAAAAACTACCAATCGATTTTTCTCGCTTTTCCGTTGGAAATATCGAAAAAATAAAAAAAATTGAGCTGGGTATGTTATCCCCATATGTGCTCAACACCCAGAACACTTTGGACCAGGTTGGGTCCACCTGCTCCTCAAGATTCACTTCCAGCCATGTTATCAAAATACTCCCGATCGATCCACTGAGGAAAATCGAAATTTATCTCGAAAAAACATGTGATAAACCTATCTATTTACAACAGTCCGAAGTGGAGCGACCAATTTTTTTTTTCATTTTTTTTAATCAACTTTTCTGGGTCAGTTTTTTACGCAGATTATGTGGTTTTACAAAATCAAATTTTTGAATGGAAAATGAGTCGAAACTTAATTTGGACCACCCTGTATATATAAAAAATCATCCAGAGCTACGAATGTAGATTTGGCCGTCTTTCGAAAAGCACTTATTGCACTAAAATGTACAACTTGTGTACAGCAATTATGACAATTATGTACCAACATTTATAAGAAATGCAAGCAAATTTCATTCATTGCAAACGGAAATCAATTAAATTTCTTGCGCGTTTTGCTAAAAAAACAACGAAATGTTCAATATAAATGACATAAATTCTTATTCCGATCTCTATGTTGTAAAACAGAGCCTTTATTTCGTTGAACCGTGTTCATGTTGTCCATTTTGGTAACTTTTTCAAGAGAGATGTATACTAGATATACTATAGTGATGTTCTGTGAGTAAATAAAAAAACGCTCTATAAGTGAAGGGTGAAATTCATTACTCCTTTTCACAACTATGCGAATTATTTGGGAAATGAATCTCGAACAAATAAGGTAGATAAAAAAAACATTTGAAAAGTTGGAATTTTAATTCAGAACACACATTTTCAACTTTTCTGGAATTATTTCATTTGATGTTATTTCATAATTTACCAGTGATGGTTTTTTCCTATCTGAATAGCGCTAGCTATTCGCAGCGCCTGTACAGCATTGCTGCCCAGATGCTGAATCGTAGCGGTTGTCGCACGCGCAACACACTTCGTTTGTACCACACAGAGCATATACGTTCGCGTTCGTTCTCTGTTCGACATGCGTTTGTATACTGACTATGGTATTAGTGTATCATACTCTGTGTGCTCACTGGTTACTTAGACTATATGATAATATGTTTTGTGATACAAAACGCGTGCGGCAACCGCTTCGATTCAGCATCTGGGCAGCAATGCTGTTCAGACGCTGCGAATAGCTAGCGCTATTCAGATAGGAAAAAACCATCACTGTAATTTACATAGAAAGCATTCTTTTTTTAACGAACCTTTGTACATTTCGAAAACCCATACATATATTAGTTGAATAATTTCATATGGAGAGAGTGATGGAATTCTCTGAAAGAACGTCGTTTTCAAAACTTGATCAAGTTGATATGTAATTAAATTTCGTTGTTTTGAAATCTCGAATATAAAAATGGATTTTAGTGATAAAATTCAACCAAGCACAACCAAGGCGTGTGTGAATCATTATAGTCACTCATTAATCACTCGTTAACTTATCTTTTTAGTATATGGCATTTTTTCACAGTTATAAACTAAATTGTAAGCTCATTTCGGTGACTAAGTCCCATATAAATCATGCAGAAGAATGCGATGGCAAATCCCACAATAATTCAGATCACTTCAAAAAAAAAAATGGATGATGAAAAAGTTTTGGTCGTATAGAAATTCAAAATACAATGACATTTGGTTATACCAGTACTTGGTTATCAAAAAAAAACTGTGCACATAAGGTACAGATCATTGAATAGTCTTTACACTCTTATTTTTCAATGGCATGATAAGATTATACATTTTGAATGTTAGTATAAATATGCGTTCGCTCACCTCAGTTAGTTAAGATGTGGTAAATAACTTGAGTTTTAAAAATGTTTTTGTTCGATATCTTACGAATTGACGTAATTTTTGTTTTAGTTGGTGCTTTGACTTCGATTTATTTATACCTGAAACGAACATATTCATATTGGGATCGCAGAGGTTTTAAAACATTCGCCGGCTATGATTTAATATTTGGTCATTTCACACGAATTATTTTTCAAAAGGAACATATTTGCAATTTTCTCCTGAAACTTTACAGCACCACGACAGATCCATTCATTGCAATTTATGGCATTTTTCGGCCAATTTTAGTAATACGTGATCCAGAACTAATTAGACTGATTTTAATCAAAAATTTTGCACACTTTACCGACCGTGGAATTCATTGTAACGAACGTTACAATCCAGTGACTGGTAATTTGGTTGCTCTGCAAGGACAACGCTGGAAGCAATTACGAGCAAAATTAACGCCAGCTTTTACAAATGGCAAATTGAAAGCAATGTTTCCCACATTGATTAATTGTGGCATGCATTTACAAGATTATCTAGAAAAAGTAGCTGATAATGATAAAATGCTTAATGTACGTGAAATATGTGCCGGCTTTACGACAAATATAATTGCGTCTGTTGCATTTGGCATTGATGTTGATTCGTTACACTGTCCAAACAATGATTTTCGTAAATATGGTCGTAAAATATTTGAGCCAAGCTTTTTTAATGCGCTGAGACGTCTAATGCGATTCATTGCACCAAATGTCATGAATATTTTACGGATTAAATCGATTAAGTCCGAAATAGAAGATTTTTTTATATCCATTGTGAAAGAAAATCTCGAATGTCGTGAAAAAAATAATATTACACGCAAAGATTTCTTCCAATTGATGATTCAATTGCGTAACAATGGAACAGTACAACTGGACGATGATCAATGGAAAACCATTATTCAAACGGATGAAAATCGAAAAACTATGACATTGAACGAAATTGCAGCAAATACATTTATATTTTTTTCAGCTGGATTTGAAAGTTCATCAAACATCATGTCATTTTGTTTGTATGAATTAGCAATGAATACACAGCTACAGAAACGAGCTCACAATGAAATCGACCATGTTTTAAATGAATACAATGGACAAATTACATTCGATTCCATTTCGGCCATGAAATTTTTGGGACTATGTATCGATGGTAACCTTTAATTGATTAAAAATAATTCAGGTAAAATCAAGTATATTTTTTTATTTACAGAAACAATACGAAAGTATCCCATTGCAATATATTTGAGCCGAAATTGTGTGAAAGACTACAGAATACCGGAAACAAATCAAATCATTGAAAAAGGAACTGGAATAATGATCCCACTGTATGCACTGCATATGGATGAAAAGTATTATGACATGCCACAGAAATTCGATCCAGATCGGTTTAATGAAGAAAATTCAATGGGAAAAAATCAATTGAATCGACCTTATATGCCATTCGGTGAGGGCCCTCGTAGTTGTATTGCAATGCGCCTTGGAAGCATGCAAATCAAAGTTGGATTAATTGTAATGCTTCAAAAATATCGATTCGAAATTGAAAACAAATCGAAATGTGAATATATGAAATTCGATTCGAAATCATATCGATTAACTCCAGTTGGTGGAATTAATTTGCGCGTTATGAAACGATAATACAAATTGAAAATAAATAAATAAATGTAAAGTTTTTTTATTCGTTAATTTCTGTGAATAAATTTCGATTTTAGCACAGATTGCAGATTATTTTCCTTCTATTGGTTATTTAAGCCATTATAAAAATTCACAAATATTTGTTCTGCGGCAAAAACTTTAGAAAATTGTCTGCATAATTCGAAACCACACATCGATGGTTACATTCTTTCTTTTTTTTTTTTGTTTTCGTATTGATGGTTGGAAGCTTTAAGAAGTCAATTAAAAGCCCATATTCAAATAAAATTAAAAATAAAAGCTTAAGACCAAAAATGAAAGTCGGAAAGCTCTAAAAATCATTTTTACCATTTAAAAATGCAGCGAAAATAAAGCTACATCTAAAACTTTGAAAACAAAACTGACCTCTGTTGTCCATAGATGATACAATTATTCGATAACATTTAGCTTTTTTAAATTCAAATAATGACTCGCAACCACTTCTTTTCTTAGCGAAAAAAGCTTTGGAATCGAGAACTTTTCTAGGTTTACTTACTAATGCTCTTGAAATAAGCATACGGAAAGCTTTTGAAGAAAATGGGGGAAAAATGTAAGTCATGCAAAGAACCATGCGCACGATGTCATGTGATAACGGTTGATATTTTCTTACCCCATTGTCTGGAACTTTCAACTCACAGTGCTATCTACATCTTCAATGTGACGTTCAGCTGATAAATTTGAAAAAAAAAATCACATTAAAATTTGCATTCAGTACACATCACAGTTTGATTAAATTTCGTTGCATATTCAAGCCAGACAAATTGGCCAATTAATGCAAACACACCCGAACAGTGTATTACGATATTTTTGTTATATTATTCATCATCATTTCGTTCAATAAAAAACATAAATTGGTAGATTTATTACAACCATTTCGGAATATCAATCAATATGATTGATTTCGCTTTTGTTTATGATAGTAGGATATATGTTCAATTTTTCCCATGTTGTTTTTTTTTTCAAGTTTTAATTTTTTTGAGTGAAAGGCAACAATAATAATCAAATCGAAGGAGAAGGATAAACTTGAATTCAAAATGAAAATACATATAGCTAACGGGTATTTATTGCAAAATTATTTATTGCTAAAATCTTCGGTTACCATCAATTTATGATTTATGTAAATGGACATGCACACACAATAGAAAATCGATAATGATTCACTTCCGTCGTTCAGCACTGAATCGTGAATAACACAATATCAATAAACAGTCTTGATACTATACATAAAGCAACGTGAATTGAGCCATGTGCAAATTCATTCTCGTTTCAAGTTCTTTTTTGTTCCTCTCCTATTATTAAATTTGCTTAATTGGCTTTCGAATTCAATTTGGCCCACGTTCAATTAAGCTGGATAATATTGATGCTATATATTTTTCTCTTCACCACTTGGCTGTACATTATCGAGAGATTGTATATTGAAAATAGCCTGGCTGGCACTGGCAAGACCATACGATAGATTAAATCACATTGAATTAAAATTAATGTTTAACTTTTTTTTTTGTTTCCAGTGTCAGTGTAAATTTTATTTATTAAAATGTACACGTTTGCGACTTTTTAATTGCGATTAGAAAACATTGTGACTATCTTAAAGTGGTTAGATTTAAAAGAATCGTTTAATACCTTTGACAGCAAGATGAAAAGAAGGAAGTGGGGATGGTGAACATTTTTTAATAAAGACATCAGATGAATATTATTCATTTGCGTAAAACTTTTCCATGACAATTAATTCCACCTAAAATGCTATTTTCCATGACAACATGTGAACTTGTGCTTTCCAGAGGTGAAAAAGAGATACATCATAAAACCCCAGTATGCCCAGGAAAATGAATAGACATTGTTTTTATTTTCGGTTTGTTGTGGGAGAGAGTATTTCTGTTTTTGGAAAATTAATTGAAAAAGGGTGACATTTATTTGATTTCTCGTTGTTGTGCCGTTTCAAGCTTGCCTAAATTGGTTTGAAATGGATTGGTAAAGTTTTTCGTACATTTTCCGCATGACTTCGTGAAAATGTTATTGCGTTACGGGAATTAATTGTAAACTATTTCTCTAACATTAAATTCAAATAGTCAACTTATTCAAAAGCATTCCAAAAATGGTGTGAGCATCAACATCAACTTCCGTTCTTCGTTCATTCAATATTATGCACATTTGTGTGCCTAGGGAGTCGAATAAATATGAAAATACCACCACCGCTGCAAGAATGTGCTACATATTTCATGCAACACTATTTAATGCGTCTGTTAATTTGTTGTTTGGCGGGTCAAAAATGATTGGGCATGCATTTTGCCATTGCACAGATACAATTCTTGACTATTTATGACATACTTTCGACAAATAGGTATTTTTCATCGAACATGCTCGTAACAAATGATTTAATGTAGCATCATATTTGGAAAGAGAGAGAGCGAGAGTAAGATGGAAAAAAGATAATGGTGTTTTATTCATAGGATAATGGGCATTAACGTCAAGCGAATGTATAACATTTGTTTTTCGGCCCATATCTTTTTAATTACACGCCAAGGCAATAATCTAATTGGTTTTTGGTTTTTTGGTTTTTGATTATATTATTATTATGACCACTGCATATATTCATACACAAAATAAATAATTTATAGCTTTGGTTTGTGGGCGCGCTCCATGTCTATTCCATAAAAATGAAAATCATTGTAATTAACAAGAAAAAACCGCAGACAAAAACCAAATCATTGGCTCAATGACATGAGTCCCCAACAGACGCACTTCTAAATCGCACGGACGAATATTAATGCAAAATTAAGTGAACATTTTTTTTTTTTCAATAAATGACTCATTAGAAAAGAACCGGCTGAACATGAACTACTTATTTCATGTCCAGTGTTCGAAGTAAACTTGAATATTTTCAACAAAAATTTTACATATTTAGGTTATAGGATGGCACGAATACACCGTTTTTCAGAAATATATAGTTTGAATGGATTCACCACCTTACTAACAGATCGAATTTACAGTCACATTATTTTTTTCTGTACTGTTCTAGGATGTGGTGGAATAATTTTTTAGATAACGTTATCATGTAAGTGAAAAATAATAATTCCCTATACACGTGTGCGCGAGCGGTTAATATCTATAACATACATCCACATTTACATATACATCTCTTTTTCAGTGTGATACCATTTTTCTTTTAATTTTATGGTATCAAAATGGGTGATACACAAAAAAGATAATATTTTTTTGGTACAAGGTTGTGGAGATACAAATCAGAAATTTGTTATCGATTTCTGTTAGAGATGTCATGTCATAAATGAATTGGCCTATTTAAATTGATTGCAATTTGCAAAAAATGGTCGAAAAAAGATATGTGGCAAAATCTTGGGCGAATAAGATGGTGATGAAAAATTTTTTTGTAAAAAAATATGTACAGATTTACATAAAAATAACTGAACGTGGAAACCATCGCGAATTGAATTTGGGACCATATATGCACACATTTGTATACACATGTTTACTTTGCATAAAATTCTAATATAAGTTATCGGTGTATTCGGGATGATACGATATTTGGTTGCGACAGAAACGTCCCTCATAGCAACTATTAGACGTGCCATTGGGTATTAAGGTGACATTCTCTCTCTCTCTCTCTCTCTCTCTCTCTCTCTCTCTCTCTCTCTCT